TTATTTTTTTTTTTTTTTTTTCCCTTATCAGGTGACTTGCATTTTTTTTTTTTTTTTTGTAGGTTGTCTTTTCACTCTTTTTTTTTTTTTTTTTTATGTAGAAGAGTTAAATTTGTTTTTTTTTTTTTTTTTTTTTTCTTTTGTTGCATGTGTTTTTTTTTTTTTTTTTAGAAATAATTGCCAAATTTGTTTTTTTTTTTTTTTTTCCCTATGTTTTGTTCTAAGAGTTTTATTGTTTTCTCTTTGCAGTTTAGGTCGATGCATTAGGATATGGTGTGAGGTAAGGGTCCAAATTCATGCTTTTTTTTTTTTTTTTTCAGTTTTCCCAACCATTTGTTTTTTTTTTTTTTTTTTATTTGGAAATATTACAAGTATTTTTTTTTTTTTTTTTAAGATTCATGTATATTATACTTTTTTTTTTTTTTTTTTCTTTGGTGTTTTTCATGAGTTTTTTTTTTTTTTTTTATTTTAAGTCATTCCAGTTGTTTTTTTTTTTTTTTTTAGTTTCCCACCAAGAATGCATTTTTTTTTTTTTTTTTACATACTAGCCCAAAAGACTTTTTTTTTTTTTTTTTTACTCTCGGTCATATAGTTTATTTTTTTTTTTTTTTTTAAGCATATTTGTAGCTCAGGTTTTTTTTTTTTTTTTTTTTATGCAAACAGTTACTCTTTTTTTTTTTTTTTTTTAGTCCAGGGAGCAGGAAGCGTTTTTTTTTTTTTTTTTGAGCACTTGTTTGGGGTGAGTTTGAAGATGGCAGGGAGTGTGTGGGCACAAGCGTGGTTTTTTTTTTTTTTTTTGCTCTGTGTGGTGGCGTGTTTTTTTTTTTTTTTTTTTAGGAGCAATACCTGATTTTTTTTTTTTTTTTTTTTTTAAATAGATGTAGTTTTTGGCTTTTTTTTTTTTTTTTTCTCTCTGACTTGAGCCTGGGGGTCGCCTGCCAGCCCTACCACTGTAAGCCTCTGGAGTTTTTTTTTTTTTTTTTTGGTGAGACACAGGCCTTCCTTTTTTTTTTTTTTTTTCTCCCACAACCCTGCCCCCGTTTTTTTTTTTTTTTTTTGTGTCGTGCAGAGCATGGGTTTTTTTTTTTTTTTTTGTCCCCGTGGGGAGGAGGAGTTTTTTTTTTTTTTTTTCCCTGCTGTCAGTCACCTGCACCGTCAGCCCCTCAGCTGTCCCAGGTCTGCTCTCTCTCCCGGCCTGCAGACCTCGGTCAGAGATTCTTAGTGATTTTTTTTTTTTTTTTTGCTTAGCCAATCGGTAAGCTTTTTTTTTTTTTTTTTTATGGAAGCACCTGCGTGTCCTTTTTTTTTTTTTTTTTGGCATCTGTGGGGAGCCCACTTTTTTTTTTTTTTTTTCTCCTTGCCCTGGGTGTGGGTTTTTTTTTTTTTTTTTTAGGGCCAGGCCCGTGATGATTTTTTTTTTTTTTTTTTGATAGTACCATGATTTCTGTTTTTTTTTTTTTTTTTCCACATGCACGCTGGCCCTGTTTTTTTTTTTTTTTTTGCAGTCAGGGCTTGTGTCCACGTTGCTCCAGCTTGGTGCTCACACTCGCTGTCTGCATTTTTTTTTTTTTTTTTGGCCGTTGAGCTGCTTGCCTTTTTTTTTTTTTTTTTTTCACAGCCTGACATCACCTCTTTTTTTTTTTTTTTTTTCCATCCTCATCTGTGCTCATTTTTTTTTTTTTTTTTGGCCTGGTCCTGCTCTTGGGTTTTTTTTTTTTTTTTTACCGGTGGTTTCCATCCTTCTTTTTTTTTTTTTTTTTCATGCTCTGGACACCACTAGTTTTTTTTTTTTTTTTTGGAGGGAGGTGGGGAGTAGATTTTTTTTTTTTTTTTTCACCAGCGGCACCTTCTGCCTTTTTTTTTTTTTTTTTTTTGGATGGTACATGTGGATTTTTTTTTTTTTTTTTTGGCTGCCCAATCACATGGTATTTTTTTTTTTTTTTTTAGGGAGAGACCTAGATTCATTTTTTTTTTTTTTTTTTTTGATTTTTAAAAGATTCTGTTTTTTTTTTTTTTTTTAGTTTACAAAATTATTTCCTTTTTTTTTTTTTTTTTTATTGTTCTGGGGTCACTGCCATCTGTCTTACCTTTGCCTGGGAAAATGGAGTATTTCTTTTTTTTTTTTTTTTTTTGAGATCCCCTAGAGCTGATTTTTTTTTTTTTTTTTGTGACAGACATTCCTGCCTGTTTTTTTTTTTTTTTTTGGCTCCCAGAGGCCAGGCTTTTTTTTTTTTTTTTTTTACTGGGCAGGGCGGTGGGGGTTTTTTTTTTTTTTTTTCCGTGCAGAAGGGCCGGTGCTTTTTTTTTTTTTTTTTGTCTTTAGGTGCCCACGGGGTTTTTTTTTTTTTTTTTGGCAGCTTGGAAAGTACCACTTTTTTTTTTTTTTTTTAAGGCTATCCCGTTGGCAAATTTTTTTTTTTTTTTTTGCATTTTCCCAAGACCGGAAACTCACCTCTTAAGCATCGAAGCTGCTTTTTTGAGGTGAACCGTTTTCATGGCAATCTTTATAAACATATCGCATTTTTTTTTTTTTTTTTTGTCGTACTCGGCATGTTGCTTTTTTTTTTTTTTTTTAGTGTTTCCCCGCCCGCCTCTTTTTTTTTTTTTTTTTAGAGCGGCACGGTAGCATTTTTTTTTTTTTTTTTTTTCTATGAGAGTAGGAGGCTGTTTTTTTTTTTTTTTTTTGGTTCTTGCCTACGTGTACCTTTTTTTTTTTTTTTTTGGGCAGGGGTACATATGGTGTTTTTTTTTTTTTTTTTTCAGAGGTGCTTTCTGTTTGTTTTTTTTTTTTTTTTTGGGCTGGTGGGGCCTTCTGCTTTTTTTTTTTTTTTTTCCCACCAGGACAGCAGCCTGTTTTTTTTTTTTTTTTTACCCCGGGGTTCTCTCCTCATTTTTTTTTTTTTTTTTAGACGGTGCCTTTGACAAGCTTTTTTTTTTTTTTTTTGCCTCTGGTGGAGCCCCTCCTTTTTTTTTTTTTTTTTAGGTTTGCCCTTGGGTGGAATTTTTTTTTTTTTTTTTCTGGGCCCCCCTCCCCCGCCTTTTTTTTTTTTTTTTTTCTCCTTGCTTCTGTGCCGTTTTTTTTTTTTTTTTTTCCAGGCTCCCAGGGAGTGAGTTTTTTTTTTTTTTTTTAGGGTGGTGGTGGAGGCCCTTTTTTTTTTTTTTTTTTGTGCTCTGGGCTTTACCCTCTTTTTTTTTTTTTTTTTTCCTGGATGGCCAGGGATGCTTTTTTTTTTTTTTTTTGCTGCCACTTTCCCGTGGCACCTGATCCTGCTGCTGAGCTGCCCCGTGCCGCCTCCCTCCCTCCCACATACACACCGCCACGGGACCTTCCCACTTTTTTTTTTTTTTTTTCAAACACGTGGTGCTGGACTTTTTTTTTTTTTTTTTTCAAGCCTTTGTAATGGCGTCCCTGGCGTCAGTGCGTGGATATGGGTGCAGATCTTGCTTTTTTTTTTTTTTTTTCGTGTGGGGGGGTGTCTGTCTTTTTTTTTTTTTTTTTTGTGAGCGGGCGTGCGTGCGTTTTTTTTTTTTTTTTTAGCGGGCGTGCGTGTGTGAGTTTTTTTTTTTTTTTTTGCGGGCGTGCGTGTGTGAGCTTTTTTTTTTTTTTTTTGGTGTCTGTCGTGTGTGAGCTTTTTTTTTTTTTTTTTTGTGGGGGGGTGTCGTGAGCTTTTTTTTTTTTTTTTTGGGTGTCTGTCGTGTGAGAGTTTTTTTTTTTTTTTTTGGGGGTGTCTGTCGCGTGTGTTTTTTTTTTTTTTTTTGGGGTGTCTGTCGCGTGTGATTTTTTTTTTTTTTTTTGGGTGTCTCGTGTGTGAGCGTTTTTTTTTTTTTTTTTGGGTGTCGTGTGTGAGCGTGTTTTTTTTTTTTTTTTTGGGGGTGTGTGAGCGGGCGTTTTTTTTTTTTTTTTTTGTCGTGTGTAAGCGGGCGTGTTTTTTTTTTTTTTTTT